GGAGTCGAGGCTGCCTTCCCTACTACCTGTAGTTCAACTCGTCACCTCCCCCGCGAGCTCCCTTTTCTTTCTTTCGGGTATGGGGTCCGTGAGTGCGGGCAGCGTGCATGCAATCACGGGCGCTATTTTGTCGTACTCCTCTTCGGCGAGCGCTCCAAATCTAGACCCTATCACCTTTAAGGAGGCTGCCCTCGCTCGTCTCAGGGATGTGGCGGTGTCTTTTGAGTCCGGCGCCTCCCGTTCAACTCTTGCTGTCGCCCTCGCTGTGTGTTTGTCGAGCTTCCGCATGCAGTGACGCGCCTCTTCCTTGTTTCCAGCGCAGCTGCCGCTCAGTATGTGCGCCAACGACGCCTGTGGTGGCTCACTGTCCTCTTGTTTCCAGTCGTCCCAGTCTCTCAGTTCTCCGATTCTCCTCCTTGCCTCGCGCTCCTCTTTTGCGGCCTCATCCCTAGCCGCTTTGCACGCTCTGCATCCCCAGAACGCACTTCTCGTGGCGGGGCCCCTCATTCCCCGTTTCTTTTCTCCCTCTAGAATACGCCTGTGGTGTGCTCCGTGTGGCACCCCTACCTGTTGTCTCACCCTGGCCCCCAAGATCGTTTTGGTCGTCACATTGTGATCCCCGACGTCGCCGAATGTCGCCCAGAGAAGCAAGCGCAAGGAAGAAAAGATTTTTTTTGAGAGCCATCGATTTTTTCCTTGCCGCTCGCCAGCCGCTCGCCGCGGCCAGATGGCCCGCTTTATCGCCCACCGCGGCGAGTACCGCGCCGAGGTCGCGGCCGCGGCACAGCTCCTCCTCGGCCGCGCCACGCTCGGCATCAGCGACAAGCGCGTCTCGCGCGGGCAGCTCCGGCTGTCCGCGTCGCCGAACGGCTCACAGCTCACCGCGGCGAATGTCGGTGTCAACTCGATCGGGATTCGGCGCGCGGCGAGCGCGGACATCGCGCCGCTACGCAAGGGCGCGTCGACGAGCCTCACCGCCGCCGACCTTCCCGCCACCGTCTACCTCTCACAGGCGTCGGCGCTGCCTCTGCTCTGTCTCTCTGTCTCTCTGTCTCTCTGTCTCTCTGTCTCTCTCTCTCTCTCTCTGTCTCTCTGTCTCTCTGTCTCTCTCTCTCTCTCTCTCTCTCTCTCTCTCTCTCTCTCTCTCTCTCTCTCTCTCTCTCTCTCTCTCTCTCTCTCTCTCTCTCTCTCTCTCTCTCTC